CTTTTTAGGAAAAAAGTGCGTTTATTCCCTCTTTAAAACGAGCGATTCGATTACGAAGCGCAGACTGTTCGCTCATATCGTGCCGTGCTCTTCCTCCCGTCTCGTTGAGAGCGGTCCGGGCGCGGGCGAGCGGCGGCGGGCGTTGTCGGGCGCCGCGAGGGCGGAGGCCGGTTCAGCGACGGGCTGTGTGTGGGGAGGGCAGGGGAGGGGAAAGGCGACCGGTTGGCGAGGGCGGCTGCCATTCCACGCGCCAGCGCAGCACAGTGGGCGCTACGTTGCTCCAATGCAACGGACGCTCTCCGTTCCTTTATACTCAAGGCAATCCAAAGGCATACATTCACCCACAAGTGATTGCGGACTCGCAAACAGCCAAGGTCACTAGTCCCTTAAGTGTAGTGAGTGTGTTTTCTTAGGGAGGTCATCTTCCCCCGCTGGACGGTGAGATCCGCCGCTGACGTACACGTTAGCTTCAGGGGGTTTCCCCAATCAGGTGTCTCCCTCATCGGAGCACCACCCCAGCAGGGACAAGCTCTAAGCTCCTGAATGGTACACCGTCGTGTGTGATTGTAGGGGGGGGGGGTTGAGGACCTAAAACATTTCTACAAATGATCAATAAAATGTCCTTAAATGCTTTGAAAATGCTCTCAAACAAAGAAAAATGACGTTTAATTATTTATCAAAACCACTTCCAACGAACGTTAATTTAATAAACGTCATCAATGTCATTGAGCTGTTGCCTATGTTACAAAGTTGTATGATGCATATGTTGATGTAATCAAGGACCTTTTCCTTTTGTTCAAGTGAACTCAGCCTACAAACGTTTGGTTTAGACGGTTCTTTAAAACAAAATCACGATAGCAAAATCGGCCAAACTAACAATAAGCGTCAGAGGAACCTTAGATGACATCGTACTCACAACGGCTGACATTACAATATATGAGCCAAGAAATCGAATAGGCTATTCAGGAATTCTGTGGAGAGAATTTGTTGCATCTCGTAAATATTGCTTGAAGCAAATACCATTAAAATAATATTAAAATCGATGAAAGCACCACAAAATGCAGTAAAAATGACATAAAACTGGTTAATTTCGTCTTGTCAGAACATAAAAGTAACGTCTGTACCAAAAGACATTGTTCTGAATTGAAAATTTAAAAAATACATTTCATTAAAATCCACCCCGGCACTCGCATGGCATGGATCGGAAAAACTAAGGAAAACTTATGATCGGGGTATGTGGCTACCTAGCCTCTTAGCTAGACACTTGGTATCTCTTGGAAGTGAGCCATGCAGTCTCTCCCTAGGGTCATTGCTTCACATGTGCGTTCTGTTCTTTTAGCTCTCCTTTCACACCTGCTACGACAGCAACACAGCTACAACTGCAGAGCCTCCATCAAGGAGGCCCTATGATTTAAGTCCCAACAGAGGAGAATTGTTGACACTTGACACAAAGCTGGGTCAAAGTCAACCACTGTTTGGAGAAGAATTCTAGCGACCGGCTGCTCAGATCGGTTGCTTTCCGTAATTTCTCCGATCAACGACAGGCGAATGCCGGGGCAGTACCCTAACAAACGGGCCACGGAGCGCGTGCGATATTTCCACGTGCCCTCATCTCCCTTTTCACACTCACATGCTTTTCACTACCATCTAAGTCTCAAGTTTAGATTTTGTCTTCATAATGAGATGCGAGGATAGATAATCTCACATCGGCTGTGTATGTTGATGTTGGATTTCACGATCCAACGGGGATGAACCTTTCGGGATAAAATATTCACTAAACTCACGGGACTAACTGTTGCTAACCATAACATGTTGTATGTAGACTAACCGTAGCTGTTGACTTGGCCAGAAGGACTAATGCTCACTCTCTTAACCCGGGGGACCAGACGAAACACCTGCGAGCCAGAGGCGAGGCGAGTCAAGGCGAGTGCAGAGAGGATCAGATGCAAAACGACTGCCTCGGCGCACACCCTGCGTTGGCCCTCTGGGGCAGTCGCGGGAAGGGACTCCATTCAGAGGACCGGCAGACGCGAATGGGTTGTAGAGAGCGCCTACACAGTCCACCGTTGGGGTCCGGGGACTTGGCCTGACCAATCCTCCTGGAATTCGTGGAGGAGAAAGTGAGCCCCTGGCAGGTCCTCACAGAATCTCAATCCCCCTATTTTTCATCATTAATCGTTTTTGCATTACTCTACGCATTAGATCATAGTTAATAGGTCTCAATGATCTTGAAGGAACTTCTAACACTTACAAATAACAGAGGAGTGTCAATCAACATAACGGATACATGAGGGTATATAATTATAAAAAATAAAATTATTATTATTATCAATTTTATGGCTGCGATAGCTCAGTGGTCTGCTTGTCGTGGGTTACGATTTTCGAGACGAGCAACGTAGTACAAAATGTATCTTCTGTTGGGAGAAGAATTTGACGATTGGATGCTCCGATGGGTAGTTTTCCATAGTTTCTCCTATCAATACTATACAAATGTAGGAGTAGTTCTCTAACAAACAGTCCAAAGACCGTGCGTGATCTTTCCTTCTTGATTCTTCACGAGTCATCCCTCAGACACACACGAAATTGCATGTAATCCTCTCCAATCTCTCCCTCTCCCTCTAACACACACACACACATTCTCTCTGCGTTTGAGCTTGCTGAATCTATTAAGTTGACTTCCATCACGAAATTACGTCAACAATACCACATCAGCATTACCACAATTTGTAGAGCTTGTTCCGATTGGGCAATGCTCTCCTAGGAAAGATACAGACGAGTTACTCTAAGAAGAGACCAGTTTAAAAAGTCTGGAAACAAATTAACGTCAAGTCTGGCAATGGTGTTGCGGTAAGAGGTGGTGTCGAAGTAATGTGAGCCATCACCAGTCAGATTGACGAAGTGGACGCGTGGACATTCCTCGCAGTTATGCTCGTATGAGCAGTAGATGTCGGGTTCTTTCTTTACCCGGAGAGAGAAAACCTGCGGGCCGCTGTGCAGGTTGGCACTGGATTTCTCGATGCAGCGGTGGATCATCATCGGATAGAACAAGCACTACACTTAGGAGACTAATGACGATACGGTTGACGCTGCCGGAAACAATAAATACTATTAACTGCTTTCATAAGGTCGGATTTAATGAATTTTCAACATTGATTTTGTAAGTGCAGTGTATGTTGTACCCAGGGAAGTGACAGTAATCATGCCCTGTTCAAAGAAAGCTTAAGGGATTTCCCTCCAGATATCTGCCGCTGTGTGACGCTGCCCGAACAGGGTCAAGCTCTATCATTGATTGGCGATTCGGAGCGCGTCAACTGCTAAGTTCATTACTCTCGTAAGGTGGTGCATGATTTTATCGATGGAAGTGGCGGTGATGGTGAGACCTGGAGCCTACCTAAGTCGACATGCGGGGTTTTCCCCAACTAGGTATCTGCCACAAGCGAGGCACCGCCCCACCACGCTGGGACACGCTCTGAGTTGCTGACCTGTCTCCCGGCATGTGTGGTAGTGTAGAGCCTATTAGTGTAAGTAAAGGGTGAGGAGAGGGCAAGGAAGAGAAAGAAAGATAGCTTGAGGTCCTTGGCCCATTTGTTAGGATACCGGTACTCCAGCATTATCCTGGTGTTGATCGGAGAAACAACGTAAACCCTGATCCGATCGCTATAATTCTCCTTCTGAGAGCAGTAGAATTCCATCCATGCGGCTACGTAGCTACGCGACCTACACGGCTATGTAGCTAGTGTGGAAAATCCTGCCACCGACGGGACTCGAACCCTAGGCCAGAAGCTCTGCAGCGACATCAGCGGATGCCCTGAGCCACCATCGGCGGTGACAAGCTCTAAGCTCCTGACTGGTCTCCAGACATCTACGTTGTGCAGTGTCTACATGTGTAATTGTGCGTGTGGGGTGTGTGTTTGACGAATGAACCTGCAAACGAGTCTGATTGTTCGAGGAAGTATTCAGGTTCATTTGACAGGTGTAAACGATTAATCTCGTAGCGAGCGCGTCGAGCAGGCGACGAGAGCACGTGTATGGGGACATTCCTCTTCTACCGATTCGATTTTTTCCCTTTCGATTCGATTATAGAAACGATTCCAACTTTTCAATTCTGGAATCGTTTTCAAAATCCATTCTTTTCTTTTGATTCCATTCTAGATTCGATTCAAACTCTTTTCATTCTGTGATTGATTCCGGAATCAATTCTTTTCCGTAGATTTCATTACAGAATCGATGAAAACTTTTTGATTCTGTAATCGATTCGGAATCCATGCTTTTCTTTCGATTCCATTCTACAAAATTTCAACTTTTCGATTCTGTGATCGTCTTTGAAATCCATTATCTTTTTTCGATTTCATTCTGATTCGATTCTAACTTGTCTATTCTGCGATCGATTCCGGAATCGATTCTTTTCTTTCATCTGCATTGTAGAATCTATTCCAAATTTTCGATTCTGTGATCGCTTCCGGAATGGATTCTTTTTTTCGACTCGATTCTAGAACCGATTAAAACTTTTCGATTGTGGAATTGATTCCGGAATCCATGCTTTTCTTTTGATTCGATTCTAAAAAAATTCCAACTTTTTGATTCTAGAATCGGTTTGGAAATCCATTCTTTTCTCTCGATTCCATTCTGGATTCGATTTCAACTTATCTATTCTGAGATCGACTCCGGAATCGATTCTTTTCTTTAGTCTGTATCCTAGAATCTATTCCAAAGTTTTGATTCTGTAATCGCTTCCGGAATCGATTCTGGTCTTTGGATTCTATTCTAGAATCGATTCCAACGTTCCGACTCTGTGATCGCTTCCGGAATCGAACGTCCCCACATGTGTTTGTCCTACTGCGCGCCCGCCACCAGCACAGCGGTGCGGAATGCAAGCGCCGCCATTAGATAACCTGCCCCTCCCCCCGCCCCGCCCCCTCTCGCGCCACGCCCACCGCCTCCGCCTCGGAGCGGCCGCACTGCGGCGTGGCGCGGGTGTCGGCGGAGGCTGCGCGACCGGCGGTTGCTCGCGACGCCACTTCCGGTTCTGGCGCTGCCTTTACCCGCCGTCGGCGAGGCTCGGCGTTGGAAACTCGTAGGTGACAACTTTAGCTCCTTCAAGTATTTTGTTGTCGAGCATTCACACAGGACTGTTCTTTCACCTCTCTGCTTTATTACTATCTACACGCTGTGGAAGTCGGTAACTCCCAGGAAAATCTTTAGGGATTCTTTGTGAGGGATTGTTTTGTAAGTGATACGTTATTATCCAAGAATTGGTTTTGTTTCGGTGTTCATTATTTTAAAAGGAAGCTCTATTGTTTTTTCTCCTTCATGATTTTGACAGAATTCATAGCCACTTTCTGCTCTAAAGCTTTACGTAAATGTAGGCTAACAACGAAGAAACACTAAAGTTTTAATTTATCTCAATTGTTGAAACATTGTTTCTCATGGCGCCAGACTTCTCTGTCAATTGGGGTCTGTAGCGGTTTTTGCCGCCCATCCATTGGGGTCTGTAGCAGCTTTTGGATTTGTGATTGTCAACGAGTCGATAGTAAGACTTTTTTCCACTGCATCGGTACATTCCTACACATCGCTACATTGCACGACATAGGTGGAAAAATAATTTAGTGAAATTTCTCAGTAATAGACTATCTTTCGGAAAAATAAATGTCCGTTACATAGATGTGGGCGCAATTCACAAAATGTATACCACGTTACCTATACGATGTGCAAAACGTCTCATTAATTTTTTCGTCTACAGACTTACGCCACATCTCACTTGAATTTTCTAAAAGTTAGTGAGCAGCTTTTTATTTACTTGCTGAATCTTGAGTTTTATAAAAAAGAATTCTATTTTCACTCTCTGGGGATAGATATATAAAAATAACTCGCACCTAAAGAGTGTATCCCCACCGATTTTAGAATTTTTAAAAGAAGCCCTCGTCTACCAATCAGTTGACGACCAATAGACCCGCGATTCGCGTGGGGTTGCGGGAGGGATATTGCAGAATTCGCCCCGACGTCGTACCGCGCCAGAATGCAGGGCAGGCTTTCCGAGTCGTAAATAGGATTGTGAAAGTTCCAGCCCGCCGCCGAGCCGCCGCCGTCGCCGCCAGCGCCGCCACTCGCGGAATTTTTCGCATCGGTTGCACTCGCGTGGCCGCCGCGTCGAGCTACCCGGCTATCGCTGCCCGCGGAGGTGTCATTTGCCTCGAAACAGATCTTATTTTCTTTTTTATTTGTCATTATTTTTTTTTGTCCTTCAAAATTCCAGCGTCTCCCGTTCTCGCGGTTTGGCGTATGTGTGAGTGTGTGTGTGCCATTCGGATCGAGTCCTCGGAATTTTTCGCATCGGTTCGTCTCGCGTGACCTGCGCGTCGAGTTGCTGTCCCCTCGACGACGGTTAAAGACAAATGACCACACTACGCAGGCGCGTTACGTTCATCTACGCGTGCTCTCGGTATTCAGAAAACACTGTGTAGCCTGATGCGAGCTAGGGATTGAAATCGGCAAGAACATTTGTTGTGCCTGCCTAAGTGATTTGTTTCATTGTTATTTCTTGTGTGCTTTCTGTGAAACGCGAAATGTAAATGTAATTTTGGATTGAGGTTATGTGCAGAAATAGTTGGAAGTCCGTATTTTTGAGTCAGCGTTCACTATAGCCTTCTCCAACTGTGACTTGAGCCAAGTGTACAAATTTCTCACATAAACTTCTACCCGGATATTGCTGTCCGAAGAGGTGCTAACAGACGTTTTTAACGCTCCGTGCACGATACACGGGCCCTCGTGCTTGTTTTCCTATTTTTTTCATTTAACGAAAAGTGTGCGTAACAACGCGCACCGTGTTTCGTAAAAGCAATTTTACAAACGAGCTCACGAAGTGTTTCGCCCACGCCGTGTTACAAACTAGTAAATTCAACACGACTGCGAGGTGATATGTCTTTTCTAAAAAGACCACTTAGATATGCGTTTTGATGATCATAGTTATTGAGTTAATAAAATTAAATAAAAATTGCGTATTGCGTCTGGTTCTTCATCTGTTAAAGTGCGCGTGTCGTGTTTGAGGTAAGACGTATCGAGGAGTAAAACGCATGTTACGTAACTCAATTGTTTGGTCCTTCCGAGCGCCTCCGTCGCTCGCCGTCGTCGCGGGGCTCGTGTCTGTGTGTGTGAGTGCTTCGTTGGCATTCGGAGCAAGTGTTGAGCGCTCGTCTGTTTTGGCGGCCACCGCAGCGCAGGAGCAGTGTGTGGGCGGAGGTGGAGGCGCGATCACGCGAAGAGGAGATAACTTCCGGCGGAGAGCGGTTTTCCGGAAACACTGGGTCACGTGGCCGCCCAAATGAACCACATGGTGAGTACACGCTTGGCGGTGAGCGGGCCGATTGACCGGGGAAGGGGGGGGGGGAAATCGATACTTCGATTCATCACCAAAAGGTTTTCGGTGTCAATGAAATAAAACATCGACAAAAACGTTCAAGTTTAAAATATCGAAGTTTTAAATATGATAAAACACATCCAAGTAAAATGCCTCGGGTCTAATGTAATACATAACACGTAAATATTAGTTTAAAATATATTCTGGCTTAAATATGACTGTCACCTTAATTTTCTAATCAATTGTCTACGTATGTAGTCAAGGTTCAAAACGCACTTTAACGGTTTTACCAAGCACAAAATCCAAATGGTTACAACACTGGATGAAGGTTGCGAATAGCAACCGGTTTCGTGCCACCTGTATATTGATAATAGTAACAATTGTCAATGGCTGTTGATTACGAGCAATCCACAACAAAATTAGGAACTGAAAATTTTATTTCCATTATGAGACATTTGTTTGAAAACATCGATGTTTCTGGACAAATAAATCGATCTGAAGAAACCATCGAAAGCAAAACATGGATGTTATAATATCGACGTATCTGCTCGAAAATATCTTTGTTTTATGCCATCCTCGGGGAGAGGGATCAAGGCCGAATTTAGGTGGCGCGCGGCTCCCAAGCAGACAATCGTGTCCATCCCTACGCAGAATCCCAACTGCTTTCAGCTGCAAAATTTATCTGGTCAATGACCACTAAAAACGTAAATGAGACGTATGAGGGAATAGTACATTTTCTTCATCTCTCCAATTCCTTCCTCAACTATTTACCCTAAATAGTTGAATGATGTATCAACATGCAAGGTTAGTAACATCGAAAAATAGGAAAATTGGCCCGAGTTATGGCAAAAAGTTAAAGGAGAAGTCGACAAAACGAGCTTATAGTAAAACTACATTGTTCATACAAATGTATGTCTACTTCACATTAAAAATGTATTTGTACATAATATTAAACTAATTTAACATTGATCAATTTTTTAAAATTATTAATTTTCAAATTCAAACGTTTCAGCACTTTAGACTACTTGATTTACATCTATTCCTGAGATTGAAACATAATTATTTTTATAATTTTTTCAATATATGAATTGCAACTAATAATAATATTATTTTACGATTTTTTCCGGCTCCGAGGATGCACCGAACTGTTGATTTTGCTTAAAGGTAAATCCGGCCCTCCTGGCAATCTTCCTCCCTAGAGTCGCCAGTCCCCATCTGAAGAAGTATTCATTTCTCCTGGCCAGGGATACAATTAATCCCTATTACAGGTCCTACTTGTAATATCAATATTCTGAAGGGTGCAAGTGAAGGAATCGAAGTGTCGAAAATTGAACGCGAAAACATTCTTGAGAGAATTATTAGAATTTATTCAAATTCTGTTGCACAAAGGAAGATGGTATGAGGTGATACCAGAAAGTCTGTGCCATCAATAGCATCACTAATTGCGTTTTATTTGGTAAGGTTAGGTAAATTTTCCGAATTTAATTTTTATATTTGGGAGTAGCTAATCCTTCGTGAAAAACTAGTATTGCCTAGATTTTTAATATTTAAAGGGAACACACATTTTGTAATTCCGAGTTTTACTGAATAGATTGGGACAGAGTGTGTTTGTTCTAAGCGAAACAATAAGAAGAACTCCTCATATCCCAACTTATTTTCGCTGAAAAGATGAACATGTGCGTTTTCTTCATCCCCAAAACATGGAACCCAAAATATCCAAAAAGTAGAGAACCCGTGCGAGAACTCTCGAAAGGGAAACACGGCCTTTTCTCTTTCCCCCATATCCTGTGACTGGGAAAATAGTTTTCCGTAGTTTCTCCGATCAATTCCTGGTGAGGAGTTCCGTACAAACAGACCGAGCGCCATCTTTCCTCCCCATCCTGTGTCGGAAAACAGCGAATTTCTGTTAGAAACTCTCGTATTGTCGGGCACTGGAAACAAAAAAGTAGATAAATACTGTTCCTGTGTATAGTAAATTAATTCTTCTAACAGGTTGTAAATTATAATGCATGCTCTATGGGGCTTTGATACCCAATAATCGATTGCCATCTGACAACAATCGGTAAAACATCTGGCAGCCCGTCTGTCCATCCGTTCGTCTGTTCGTCCGTCCGCCTGCCCGTCCGTCCATCCTGCCGTCCGTCCGGCAGTCTATCTGTCCGACAGTCCGTTCGTTTGCCAGTTCGTCCATCAGTCCGTCTCTCCGTCCATCTATACGTCTATGGTTGACACTAGTGTCTAAACCGTTCATTGTTTCGAAAACTAATGTTCCCCAATCGATCTGAACGAACTCAACACTTTGGGAGTTACGGTGAAAATGGATTTATTGATTTTTGGAAGTAGCTCTTCTGATAAGATCATGAACAGTTTTTTGAAGAAAGGATTAGTTTTCGCATAATTTGTGGTTGAAAGTAAAGCAATTTATATTAAAAAAAAACATTTTCTGAAGAACTGCTTCTAGTTTTCCCATGGGTAGAAGACAAGTCGCTTAAAATAATGGCTCATATCTGTTTTTGTTGCTCTCTGAATTTTCGGAAATTGCAAATTTATAAACAATGCGAGAAAGTATGCGCTGTTGTAGCTCAACTCGTTCTTAAAGGGTGGAATTTGTCAGATTATTGCTCAATATTGAGTTAACAATTACTCGAATGTATGTAAAAGCACTCTTCGGACTTAAAACCTCGATTTCTTCGCTTCACTAGCTAAGATATCACACACCAAAACGACGCCTGCTTTCGAATAACAGATAGCAATTCCCGTCTCCAAACGAAGCCAGATTAACCGTTGTATGGAGCGCCGAGAAAGTCTCTCCCCCTGAGTCGGGCGAGTCAAGGCCCCCTATAAAAAATGCCAATGATGCGGATAGCAAACAGATCGCAGGAAACAAGTGAAGGGGACACACTTCCAGCATCTGTTATAGATTGTGGTGATTGCGGTATTTACGTTATCTTTTGTTTCACGCTGCTACCAACATAATTTTTGTAGCAATCACCAAGGTGCTCTTGCGGAGAGACTTTCCCGGCGCGCTGTATAATGTGAAGTGTGGTAGTATGTAGCATGTATTTGGATTTTTGTGTCGATTGCCCGTCTTTGCCGATTGGACGACGGAGTAGTTTAATTCCCTTGTTCTGGCGGGGGTAAGAGAGACGTGTGTCGAACACGGCGTATTCGCTTCATCCTGACTAGCAACGTCAGCCCGTCTGACCTTTTCTTCGTCACAGCTACAAAAACCGAAACGATTTTAAAGGAAAGCTACGCCGCTGTTGTTGCCTCGATCGGGAATGGAACTCGGGACCGCATCGCTGGCAGCTACTACACTGCCTAAGTCCATGAGCCAAGTTGTGTAGTACATTGTACAAGAGTTGGGCTTGAAAATGACTTAATGAACAAATGACATCAGATATGCGAACATTTTTTACGTTTTATATATTATTACAATTTAGTGTTTTATTATAAAACCTGTTAATAAAAGCAAGTCAGAACACATCGTTGACTCATTATTTTTCATTTAAAGGAAAAAACAAAACAAAATTTGATTGAGCAGAAAGCTTAAACTTCCTTCTAAACAAAAAAATCCTTAGTTTTTAACTATTTAAATGAGTATTTATGAAGTGAATGTGCTATTCAGTACGTTGGCTTTTCAATGGAAATATGTTTGTTTTGGCATCTCATTTGTTAAGATTGGTGGAAATGAGAAACGCTAAATGACCTTCACCACAAAAAATAAAATAGTTGAAGGTGATTCTTCATCCATGGTTAAATGGAGTTGATTTATGTTAGAATCAATTACCTACTTATCTCCTTATTGCGAACGTTGTCGCTGACCTAAGAATTGACTCCGAAAGAAATAACACATGCAATGTTTTCCAGTCGATCTGTTGTCCAACTCGGGCCAGTGACAGCCAGTACGGAATTCCATTGGCGGTGCAAGTTAGTGATGCGAAATCGATAACAAAACAACCATGTTACCAAATACCAATGTTCAAAATAAAAACACAGATGTTAATAAGTACCTTTAGTGCACTCTATGGAACAGAACGAAACCTACTGTGCCAGTTTGATTTTGGCACCGTGTCTTTTATAAGAGACGCGTACAAACCAACACAGCGTTGAATGGGTAGAGACGGTGTCAATCCGTGGGTGGCTGAGCGGTTTAGAAAGAAGTCCACAGATAACACCCCGCCCTGGGCGATTGAAGCGAGTGTTCATAGAGCCTCGAAAGACGAAACGTTCGTTCAAACGAATTACGGTAAAGAAAACTAGTTTGAAGAAACGATATTTTAAACATATATCTATGGTGTCAATTTTCTTTCTTTCCCTGTGGTTGATGGTGGCAAGGCACACTGGATCTACCTCTCGGACGGAGACAGTCAAGGCACGGGGTCCGGAGCAGGTTTGCAGACCTCCCGCAGGTAACAATGCAGCTCCCGTGGTACACACCGCGGTGCGGGAACTGCAAAAGCAACTGCTGACGAGGCACAAACACCGATCGAGCGGCAACTGCCACGGGACAATCGACGCACGGCGCCCGTTTCGCCTCGATAATTGCTCCCCTCAGATCTATTATATCGGGAATGTTATAGTTCGTACTTTCTGTGCTACCACTTTTTATGACCACACAAAGAACCCTTGCGGTGGAGTAATTTTCTCTTTAGAACTATTCAGCTATATCATGGTTTATCCGCGTCATCCTAGGATGATGCAAGGCAGTCTTTCCAAACTCAATTTCAGCGGCTGAGAGAGCTTGAAGCCAGCATTGTCGTTGTATTTGCAGCGGCCGTGTCCGGGAGGTATTAGAGATTCAGTTCCGACTGAAGGTAGTGTGTTTTCGATATTCTCTATATAGATAGGTCAAATGCTACTGCTATATGGATGAGAAATCTAGTAACCGGCTCAGTTTCTCCGATGAACACCTAGCGAATGCCGGAGAAGTACCCTGAGGAAAGGGCCACGGACCGCGCGCGATCTTTCCTTCC